TTGTTGAAATACTTTATGCTGAGAATTATATATTGTACGAAAAACATAATGTTGAATAAAGCTAATAATAATAATAATACTTGACCTAATTAATTCCGTTGTCCACTGGCGCGATTTAAGTCGATAATAATATACGAGGATTGGCAACATGTGTATTTCAATAACAAGCAGCAAACGATCTAGCTGAAGTCGAATGTATGGCCACTAAAACGCTATTTCATGTATGCGAAACTCATGCATGCCAGTTTATTTTCCTTTTTCTCCCGTTTTATGTCCTTTTGCACGTAGGCGTGCAATTTGACACGTACTCACACATCCTTTCTCTTTTCCAGGACGGCTAGAGATCATGAAAAAATCGACGACGTTAAGGATATATCGAAATTTTATTGTACCTGTTTTTCATTATTATATTGTACCACTTTGTCCCTTATATTACTGAGAGACGACTAAACGCTCTTGAACATAGCAAGCTATCAGAATAGTGTTTATGAACGACAAACACATCGGGTTCGAACTTTTAAATGGTTATGTCTTTGGGTCATCATAGCCTCACTGTGGAGGGAGTGATTTGTAGAGGTAAATAAATCCCCATATACAAAAACTCTGTAGGACTTCGACATTAAATACTGACTGCATTAGTTTTAATAGACTCACCTAACTGAAGGTATCCGATCAAGCATCAGCACCAGGTCACAAGTGTATGCCATGCTAAACATCCCTTGCAACATCTGGCCAGCTTTGACCAAATCTTCCTCCACATACCGTCAGCCTTTGAAATAGATCTTCGAACTCCTTCATTTCTGACTTCTGATTTGACTGGGCTGGCATACTTCGATTATAAAAAACGTATCGGGCAAAGGTGTTGTCAATCTCCGTATACTTACGGCGTCATTAAATGTATCAAAAGCAAAGGTATAAAACCAAGATTCAACATATCTGAGCACATTGTTCTTCAATCCTAGTTGGTTACGAGTACCACTGTTGATGGACTTGGATTGAACGCTTTTTCAAGTTCGTAGGACACGCTTGGTGTTTTTTGGTAAGTCCGATATCAGATATCGAAAAGCACTTGAAGTGCAGTCATCATCTCTGATGGTCTGAAAACAGTTTGTCATAAATTTCTTCAACGCCATGCTAATTTGTTCCTCCCGGTATATGAGTTTTTGAAGACATAGTTCAACGTCATTACTCCTTTGAAGAAATGAATTAGCGATTTCACTTCTTTCACATACCATCATTATCCATTTTATGGAGTATATATTCTCATTGCAGTTGTTTTTAGTTTTTGCTGCTATTAATACAAAGTAAATTACTGCTAAATTGAATTGTTGAGTATCGGGCTTTCGTTAGAAAGTTGACTGGATGAAAGCAAGATATGTATTTTTCAGGAGTATTGCTCACATTTTATTGACCTTTGTGTTATATGTCGACCTGTTGCAATCGAGGGGCTTGGTAATTTCACTGTTGTCCTAAGTCTACGAACTTTCTCATATACTTTTACCGAACTCATCTTATAGAACAAAGGAGGTATTAATTGATAGTGAATGAAAACACAAAGATCATGCAATTTGCTTACATGCAGCAAGCTATCTGTGACTGCCACCAAGCATACATTAACACTGCTAACAAGCAAATAAAAAATTCTTGATGTTTAAATTTCAAAACTTTCTAGTGTATAAATATTGTTGTTTTGGTACTGTTCCTAAACAAAACGTTGTTTTCCACAGACCCCGGCCGATGAAGATTTCCTTCCCATCCTCAGACATTGAATTTGTATTTCATGCCAACATGCACCGGTTGCCACCTGATGTTTATATACATCCGGATAGGCCACACGACACAAGGATAAAGCACAAAGGTTAGTTGGGGCCAACTATTCCACTTGTGGACTGCCTAGGTCATAAAAACGCAGAAAACAATGTTGCTTCCATTTTGGAAAACCTTATGTAGGTAGGTTACCTGTCTATTCACACAAGGGTCATACAGATAAACAGGATGGGGAAGTTCATGTGTTTCAAATTGAAACCATAAACTGCTTATGCATGAACATCGCGAGTTTACCGAATAAAATGGTTAAGCTGCGTGAACTCAGTAGTACTAATAATACTCATCTGATAAGAACATCTAAGTTTACGGACCAAGAGCTAGCAATACCCGGTATGTCTTTGTTTCGCAGTGACATAAAAACAGGAATTGGAAATGGAGTAGCCTTATATTTATGATCTTGCCTGGAGGTACATCAAATGCATAACCAAGAGTTTATCAATCTTGATGAATTCGTATTGTCTACCACATCAAGGTGTCTAATTGGAGTCAGCTACAGAAAACCTACAGCTGATATCAAGTACGACAATAGTATGCTGGAAAGATTATCCCGCTCTACTCGTCTCGGATTCACTCATATCCCGACTATAAGGGAATTCAGTCTTCCTAAAGTCAGTTTAGTGGAACATACGTATATTGGACCTACCTTAAACACTTCAAAGTGTAAAGAAGCCCATCTGAGACATGTTGCGGACTACAGCTAAAACGTAGACAACTCCAATTTAGAAGTATCACGAGTTGAAAAAGATTTTGAAGGCTGGTACCCCATGATTTGACGTCTTACATTAACTGTGACAAAAATACCTTTCGAGCAAACCTTGCACTGGTAACATTGAAGCTCATTTTGGCCAGTTCGACGGTAGAACTTTTCACATAGTCTTCAACGATTCCATTCGTCCCCATTTACAATGCAGAAACATAGTAATTTCTCCCTCACTCCAGAATGATAAGGACACTCTGAAATGTACCCAACGGCGAGCCACGAAATCAGTTCGGGAACTCAAATTCAAGCCTTATGAAGAGCGCCTCCAATCACTAAGTCTCTACCTGTTGAGCTACAGGAGTCATAGAGCTGACCTTTTAATTGCTAAGAATATCCTTAACAGTACTGCTTCATCATTAGTGGAGGACGACTTTGGTAAGGCTCAAGCGTTCTCGAACTACTTTAGCAACGTGTATACCATAGAAGCGCCCTTCTTGTCAGCGTATACAGATCCCCCATACATACACTGGATAGCGTGACCATTAAAGAACTCGATGTCTTTGGTCTGCTAAATAAGCTTGACATAGGTAAATCCACGGGGCCCGATGAATTATATCCTAGGCTACTGAAGGAATTATCTAACTTCGTTGCGAACCCTTTAAGTACATGCTTTAACCTATCCGTTACGCAGGGTCGCTTACCGAAAGATTGGAAAAACGCCATAGTAAGTCCTGTCTTCAAAACAGGCACGAAACACAAACCTGAGAACTACCGCCCTGTTAGCCTAACTAGTGTGGTTGTTAAAATATTAGAAAAGATTATTCGGAAGGAGCTGTTTAAGTATCTCGATAAAAACCGGATCCTCTCGGAGAAGCAGCATGGCTTCAGAATAGGTTATTCTTGTCTCACTAACTTATTAGTGGCTCGTGAAAGCTGGTGTGCTCTTAAGGACCAAAAGCTACCTTTAGACGTCGCCTTCATTGATTTCAGTAAAGCTTTTGATAAAGTTCCGCACAACCGGCTGTTATATAAGTTAAGACAGGTCGGGATTGGAGGTAATTTATTGATGTGGATAAAAGACTTCTTAGTTCGGCGTCAACAAAGAGTAAGGGTGAACTCAAAGTTATCTAGCTGGGAAACTGTGCTTAGTGGAGTGCTCCAGGGTACAGTTTTGGGGCCAGTGCTATTCCTCTTGTATGTAAATGACCTTCCTTGTCTCCTATCATCATCGGTCTTGCTATATGCTGACGATGTCAAGATATGGAGAACGATACGATGTAAGAGTGATAGCTTAGAACTTCAAAATGACCTGAAGAAGTTATCTGAATGGTCTCAAACATGGCAGTTGCCGATAAATACTTCCAAGTGTGTTGTGATGCATATCGGTCATCAAGGCACAGATACATACACGATGAATAACACTGAGCTACCTGTCGTCCAGACATATAATGACTTAGGAGTTATCGTTAGTCAAGACTTAAAGACTACTGCACACTACCGTGGAATAGCCGCCAAAAGTTTTAGAACGTTATGGTCAATACTTAGGGCTTTTAGTCATGTCGACACTAAGACGTTTTTGACTTTTTATACAGTGTTCGTTCGTCCTAAACTTGAGTACTGCATACAAGCGGCCAGCCCCTGCTTTAAAAAAGACAGTGAGCTTCTGGAAAAGGTTCAGAGAACGGCGACTAAGCTGGTTCCCGCAATAGCGAAGCTTCCGTATGAATCTCGACTGGCCAAGCTGAACCTTTTCCCGTTGTCATATCGCAGAACTAGAGGCGACTTGATTACAGTCTACAAATTGCTTAGTGATAAATTTGCACCTAACATGCCCTCATTTTTCTTGTCTTCCAAAATAGAGAATTTACGAGGACACTCCAAAAAGGTTCATAAGCCGAGAACAAATTACTTGTCAGCTGACTATCGACTTTCCCAAGGAATCATCAACGAATGGAATTCATTACCTCAGCAAGTGGTTGAGGCTCCATCCGTCGACTCTTTCAAAAGAAAGTTGGATCAACTGAGAGACCACCATTGCCAGGACTAACATAGGCCATCGAGCCTCCTGTCCTTCCCAAACTGAAACTGAAACTGAAACTTCTGGACATCCCCTGAAACACCTACTCAAGTTAACTCCAATGCAAACGTTTGGGAGTAACACCCAGAAACTGGAAATACAACTCAACAGAATGGCTTGTAGACATGACTTCTACTCTTTAAGAGTTGTCAACTTCTGGAATTTGCTGCCGGCTGAGCTAGTTCAAGTGACTTCCTAGGAGTCCTTCAAAAGAAGACTTGACATACTCTTAAGGACTAAGGATAAAATCTTACTATGATTTACCAATATCTTTTTCTTCTTTTCTCTTTAATATACCTAGATTCCTGCCCTGAGTTATTGGTGACCCTATGCTACTAGATACGGAAGCCCGTTAAGTGAAAGCTTCTTCCATTCCGTCTACAACCGATTGACCCATTTGAACAATTTGAAGTGAGCGGCATATTCGAACAGGCTGCATCACTTACGGTTTTCTACTAATTTCTCTCAAATAACCGACGTAAAGTGTAGAAAAGGACATTTCTTCTTGTTTACGCTTCATGTTGATGTTATGTTATTCTGAGCTATGAAGTGATGTGTTGTTGTCACTCAGACATGTCTTCAATCAAAAGAAATCTTCCATGAGAATTTATTGTTTCTGCCGTTTGCTTCATATAACGATCACAACCAGTTTCATACCTTAAAAAGTTTCCAATTCTCTCAGAGATATTCGTAATTTTAGCTTGTATTTTCATTCTTTCAGTTGTGATCTAGATCCATTTTTAATTACAAAACGTGGAGTCATCTAAATCCATCTGTTAGTTTGGAGCCATTTACGAAAAATTCTGTAACTTGTGGTTATTTAGAAAAAAATGTCTCCGGAGAATATGGATAATATTTGCACTCAAGGTAATATCTGCAAAATACTCTAATGGATCCTTCAGATAAACTTGTTTCGAAACAAAAAGTTAGTAAAGCAGCTCGTCGTCGTGAAAAACGAGCTGCTCTTCAACATGCTCAACAGACAGCTGCTTTAATGAATATACAAACAGATAGATCTAATAGTCTTCGATCTGTTGAAATGAAAAAGTTAGAAAAAGAACTTTCAGCCCGTCACCTATGTTTATTTGAAGTAAGCTTTTTTATAAAGATGTGAACAAATTACTCGTTTAGTATACTTGTGGTTATTTACATCACCATGAGGCTTGCTAATTTATTTATGGTGAATTATAGAACTAAGATATATTCCTGCTATACAGCTTCAAGACATGAGAAGCACCTAAGGAAACACAACCAGAATTCGGTCGGTTTTTAGTCGATCTTGATGATATAATCTGTCAAGGCTTAAGTATTTAAAGTGCCTTCTGAAATTAGCCAAACTCTGTTTTGGAAACACATGAATGAAATCTTCGTTATATGTGATAAAGGTTTTGTTGTTGTTCAGTTATTAAATAAATTCAATAACGTACAGAATAATATCGCACTAACATAAGCGGAAGAAAGTAATAACCGAATACTCTTCTCGGACATGCTCTTGAATTGATGGGTGGATGAAACAAAAGGCGGTTAGTTTATAAGTAGCCAACCCGACCTGGTCGATGTTTAAATTTCCAGTTTCTGTCTATTGCAACATAAGCGAGGTTTGATAAAGCGCCTTTTTTGACAGGACTCAAACAATATAAACCACGTATAATTGTTTGAAGAAGATACAAAACTGCTGACCAATACACATACCAAACGGTTACCCACTAAATTTCATAAATAGGTGCAAAATTCTGTTAACACCAAAACCCCTTTAATTCTGCTGCAAAGAAAAATGCTTATACTTCTCTACCACTTAAAGGTGGATCTAGCAAGGTGATTTACAGACTGACTAAAAGCAGCCATTGAAAAACATTACGCTGCTAAATTGGTTGTGATTGAAGTGACTAAGCCCGTGATTTTAAATGGACCTAGACGCTGCACGAACGATCACGTCACATCCCATTGCACTTACTAATTTACATTTTTGTGTGGACACATATATAGGGGAGAGTAATCGAATATTGCGATCAAAGGTTATGGAAATTGTGCCTAGATGGCTTCAAAATCAGTTCATGTCAAATGTTCCGGTAAACGTGGTAAGTAGAAAACAATGTTCATCGTTAGGATTCACATTAATACGGCTTTTGTATAGAAATTGTCAAGGATGAATTCTCAGGTTTATAGAAGTCTTATCTTTTCGCAAATTCAAACCCATCTTATGTGCCTTTAGTTTTATTGTTCCATAATTGTTAGTTCATATTCGGTTTGATAAATCCTCATTACATTTTGAATGTTCACTACCTCAATTTTCAAATGAAGACGGACACATTGAAGATTTCAGTATTAGTAAATATAACGTATTTTTCTAAACGATGATCATAGATAGAAGTCATAAAATAAGTATAGTTTGTAGTAACCTATGTGCATGGTGACCTATTGATTAAAGCATTTGACTTTCTCAGGTCCCAAACCTTCTTCAACAGGTTTGTATCATTAGCTCAGACAAAATGTCTTACTTAAAACCGGGTAAACAGATGTTAGTGCAATGTAAACACCCCAATATTTACTGGTCAACTCCTGTAATTTGTTTAGAGAGACGTACGCGCTTCATTAATATCTAAATAAGACAGGAACAGTCGTTATAACTTCTACCAATGATTCTTTTACTGTTCTTTCTTTATATTATTTATTGTGAGGTTCCTTCAGATGGAGATTGCCTTTATCAGTCAATTGGGCATCAATTAAAAATTCGGAATTATCCATTACACACATTAATAGGAAAGATTGAAATGTCTAATCCAGAAATTCTTAATGATATTACTACCGATCTGACAATGAAACAAGTAGTGAAAATTTTGCGTCATCTTGCATCGTATCACATTCGCAAAAATATGGATGATTTCCTACCATTTTTGTTCAACCCAGATTCTGGAGAACCAATGAGTATAGGTATTCTAGTTTAATTGATTGTCGTAATTTCATGCACATTTTTCTCAACAAAGTTCTTTTTTAAAATATAAATCAGTTATTACGACTTATTTAGCTTAAAAGGTAGATCCCATCAACTGTGGACCTGTTGAAAATAAATTAGCACTGAATCGCTGTTTACCTTCACATTCCCTTATTCACAACTTCACACGTAGTCGTATAACCCCCAGGAGACATTTGTTGCACTGTACACGATATGACTGGTTGAGTGAGTGATAACAGATATTAACATTTTTATTGGATAAGTAAAAATCATAACCTGTCTACTATGAACGTGTTGAGTATAGTGTAGCGTGACATCCCGGATAAAAACGCAAGTATAGTAAATATTAGGGCTAAAAGTGTAATATGTGCTGAAAATCACACTAATATCTAGCAACCACCAAACAACCGAGTAGAGAATCGACCGAATACTCGAAGTACGACATAATTAGTGAAAATTGCAGACAAACTCAGCGATAAAAACTTATTGAATTATTTAAATGATCAACTGAATGCATTAATTACATTGTACTCTGTTGTATTGATGGACTAAATTTCGTTGTATGGTTTGAAAACTACAACTTTATATTGATTTATTTCTGTCCCCTATTCTAGTACTCACTAAAATCGGGAAAAGCTAATTTATCATCTCAGTCGTATATGTTTATTTAAATGTGTACTAGTTAATTTAATTCATTACAAATTATTTTTTTAAATTATACCAAAACCTTACAGTCTTGTATCGATTTGGGTATTTTAAAACACTTTATCATATTTAACATGATCCTGTAGTTTGTGAATTCTTTCGTGTCATTCAAGATTGAGATTCTCTTTATCTGACTGTTGTCACTGCCCAAAATCGTTTGTTCTGTCTTAGGGCTATATCTTTGAAATAAAGCTAGTTGTTCTATTACTTGTCTGGTCTAAATTGTAACTGCCCCCAAATGCCCTGGTATGGCCGAGAGTGGGGAGAGTCCGCTCTCCCTCTCGAAATGCTCTCACATGGCCACGCATATATCGCCTCTGCCAGGGAAGTCCTACTCACTGCCTTCTCGTGGCGGGGGTGTTGTTTTCGAAATTGAGATGACGAAAGCGAATATCCGACGCTCTAATTGGGTTGTTGGATATGGGGGGACCCACGTGGGGGAGTTGGAAAACTGATTCCGTGGACCCGGGTTTCGTGTTACTTGGCACTCGTCAGCAAGATGTACCTATAATCTTGAGGGAACTGGTGCTCCCTTACGGATTCGGTCCCGTGTCACCCAGCTTCACAATCAGAGACGTTACCACTGAGCTATCCGGGCTGCGACCGACCCTAATCGTTCCGATTACTGCTTTTACTTTTACTACCTCTACCACTACGGGATTCGAATCTACAATTGTATCTGCGTGTTAATGTGGTATGGCAGCTCGAACCGATGTACGTACGTACGGAGTTCTACGTTGTCGACTGACTGACTGAAACAAGTCACCTAAATATTAGTGTAGTTTGAAGAGGTTATGAGAAAGCGAGGAAGAGCAGCAAAACGTCTAAAAGTCTCTATCATGTACCCAATTTTTATCTCTACTTATTACCCTATGCTATCCTAACCGTTGCTACTACCTTGACGTAGTAGTCGGGCTTGACTATCGTTATGAACCACTCGGGTTATACTAGCTGGAACAATCATTCTTCAAGGTCCTACCATGCCAGATAGGTCGGCAGCTCAACCAAGGTCTGAGGGCGAAGTCGTACTACTGACTGTACAGAGGTGTGACGTCAGCAAAGTGTTTCCTTCAGACGACCAGCATGACAGCGATACTGCCTTCCCACAAGGAAGGGTGAGGTTAGAAAAAGTCAACCCTAAAAATGCGCACCTCGCCTTATCCCACAGATTTCTGTATCCGTCGGTAAGGTCCCAACAAATACACTAAAATTGCTCGCAAAAAAGTCGTGTGTGACCGGCCTCAAGCAATTTTCCCTTAGGTATTGCAGTCACGCTCTCAGGTCACTAAGACCACCTCTAAACGAATTTCCTTAACAGATACCTCTATAAGAACCCTTCCGCTGTGTGGGCAACCAGAAAGTGGTAACCGCCCTCACACCTATATCAGCACTCAAGACTGACTGACCCTATGCCTAACTTCACCATAACTCACTCGGTTTTATTAAAATACACAAGCAATAATTCAAAGACATGTATGATCGAAAATAGTAACCTGTAAATATCCTCTATTCTTAACTTTATGTTTCACACCCATAAAGTAGAGTAGAGTGAACTGCTGCACAATAAACTCATTCTTTAGTTGGTATACAAATATCTCGCTTTCTGAACTCATGCGGAGATTTCGTTGCACAACACCACATCAGGGCTGATGAAACTTTCAAGATAAGTGAACCAGTCAGCCCGATAAACTACTTTTTGGCTCAAATCTGAGTATTTCATGCAGTTCTTTCCATTGATGAATTCGGATAAGGCAAAACAACAAATGTGCCTGGTTAATATGAATTTATTTATGATGCGGACTTTGTTCACTTGCTTACATATTAAAAAATAACAGTAATAATCATTTGAAACCAATACCAATGTATTATATTAATGAAAATTGGTAAAATAACCACAATACTTACGTAAGAGTTATAAAAGTTGTTAAGTGGTTTGATATCTGTATGTTAACTAGTGTGAAAATTGTTGAAGGAAAATGTTGAAAATACATGGAAACACCGTTCTAGGAAATGAAGAGTGCGTAACAGAAACTTCACAATTGATTGATCACTGGGTGGTGATCAATCTCATGCTTGTCTAGTCCTTATTAGTGCAGATCGAATGCTATCGATCATGTTGCAATGTGGCCACCAGTCTAGGTGATCAATCAATTGTGATTACATCTCATTCCTACAGGAGGTCAGTCACGGCTCGGATAGCTCAGTGGTAACGTCTCTGACTGTGAAGCTGGGTGACACGAGATCGAATCCGTAAGGGAGCACCAGTTCCCTCAAGATTACAGGTACACCTTGCTGACGAGTGCCAAGTAGCACGAAACCCGGGTCCAGGGTTTCCTGTTGACTACCTCCAACCACCATCTAACAGAAACTTAAAATCGATAGGTTTATAGAGTAAAGTGAAAAGAACTTTAAAGGACGATCTAGAAATTAAAAAGTATATATATATATAATATTACGCAATTAAATTTTGAAGCTGAACTCACTAGTAAATATCATAAATATTCAACTATTTGAATATTTTATAGTTCTTCATATTTGTTGTCCTTTTTACCAATCTTCATTTAAACGTTATAAATAATGTACACTGATTTTTGATAAGTATTATTAATAAACAGAGTATGGTAATGGGTAGCAATGAAATACAGGACATGTTTTATCCTTTTTGTAACCCAGCCGAATATGAGGTCACCTCAGTGTTGCTGTTCACATCGGGACTCAAACCAATTATCGTTCACTTCAAATGCCGTCGCGTTATCCACTTAGCCACTGGTTTGTGTATTGGGACGAATTTCAACTTGTATATATTGTTTGTTCGAATCTTCTAGTCGATTTCGAGGATTGCAGTTGCTTAATGTCTTTTGGCAAATGTGGATTATATGCACATTGCCCTTATCTTACCATTAAGTCACGAAGATTTTACGATGAGTTGATTGGTGGCTAGCAGTGGTATCCAAGATGCTCCTTTCGTCCCATTTAGGACTCGTCTGCTCCTAGTGGTTGTGATTTAATGGCAATATCGAGGCATTACGCACATGTCGAACGAGACAAATTAATTGATTCTCGACATCACCAATGCGAAGATTTAAGCAACCATTACATTAAAATATTAATGCTGTTTCTAGATTTTAATCAGCTAAAGAGAACCCATGGGATGAAAATGAATTCATATAATTCTATTTTTGTTGTTTTTGCTTTAATCCAATCTGAGTATATTACTTTATAACTTTCATTGTTGAGTTGCGGTAATTACTCCCAGTTACCTTTTTCACTATGGACATTTCCATCTTTTGATATATGGTATATTCACCTGAAAAAACTGATAAATTAATTCAGCTAACTCCAACAAAGTTATTAGCTAGATATCTTATAGTATAAAAGAGTTAATTTAAATAACTATGCATCTTCAATCAATGATTCATTAGCTAATCAAGACAAAATTAACGCTTTGATGATATTCAAGTGTGAAGAAATGGTAATATCATCGTCATAATGTGAACTAATAATATGCTGAAAGCTAATTTCAGTAAAAAAAGCTTGTTTGCAAAGACGCTCATTAAATCACAGAGGAAACATAATATGTTCAAGATCTATTAAGAGGAAGACAGTGTATTAAATACAACTGTAATACATCATTTGGTCTTGAAAAACCATGTCACCCACGCCTTTAATCATATATATAGTAATTATTTCATTTACTTCTAACCATGAAAGTTTCAACCACTAAGATGACTTAGACTATCTTATATACTGACTGCCTAAACTGACGCCATGTCCAAGTTTAATCTCGTCTCATCTTTTACAGTTCTCTCATATACTAGCGCAAGCACTGATTTTCTGCATCGGTATGTAAAACATGTCTGTGTTCTAACCCACTAACTTATCCAGATTGGTTATAAGTTATAAACGGTTGTCAACTAACGCTTTTTAACTGTATGTCTATGATCTATATTACAGTGAATTTATTTAATCTCTGCAGTCCTAATAAAGTAAAATTTTCATCTTTAACAATCAACAATAGTTGTAAGAGTTTCTTGAAATTATGATTAAACTTGAAAATATTCATTTTGAATCGTAAATATATTGAATAACATTGTAAGAATTTTTTGACAATTTCACTTTCCTCTTATTTGAAGCTAATTTTGAACAATATTGTGACAATATAGAAAAAACATCAACGTGGGGTGGACAAATTGAAGTTAGTAACAGTGTTCTTTTCATATTTTTTGTCTATTGACTCATATGTTTTGTTCTTGTTGATTTGAGAAATTAATGTTGTGTTTATTTGTCAGATAATCTACTGTTAAATTGTATTTAATTTACCCTTCTTATATGTTGTTTGTATTGAGTAATAATTTCCTCTAAGATTGTGTTACACATGTGTCTCTCAGATCACTTGTAATTTAGTAACTAATTTGTTTATAATGTGTATTTTTACAAGGTTGACTTGTGACTGTTTATATTTTATAGGAGATGCATCTGTTTCCTTAAGGTTGTATACATGTTCTTCCAATGAGTCTGCTATTTACTGATATGTAACACTATTATTCACTATGCTATTGTAAATAACTTAGCAGTCACATTCCATTCACTCTCTATGGTTAAAAATTTATTTCCATTTTGAATATGGATGATTGTTTTACAAAGTGATTACTTAAGGTTAAAGATGGTCTTCGTCATGAACTAGACTTCTGAAAGCTATATAGTGCTAGACATAGATTTTTGCATTAGGCTACGGCTCTTCATAAATAATCTCCCTTTACCCCGCACTAGTTCGAACCCTGGACCTCCAGGTATCATGTAGAGTTCGTTGACATTAGAAATGTGAATCACCAAATTTTCAATCAATGGTATAGATGTATCATACCACGAAATAAAGGTTTTCGTTCATTCCCGTATTTGGATAGTGGGTGATCACATTAGAACGAAACGACTGTCCAGTCCTACTTTGTTTTCATGCTTCTCTAAGTAGTATTATTTTGCGATGAAAGCTCCCTACCTTTTTTTTTCTCTTCCCATTCTCATTGTTTTGTGTGGCGCTTACATATTTGGTGCCCTCTTGTACCAATATTTATGTGTTCAAATAAAATAATAAATTTTTGTAATTAAAGTATTCTCCACAATCTGCTCCACTAAGCAATTATATGTATATGATCAAAAAGGATTGAAAAGTGTGAAAATATGGTTACATGAGTCCTGGATAAAAGTTAAAATACAAAGCAGGGAGAGAAACTAGAAAAATAACCGTGCTGTCAAGCAAATCGCTTTAGATTGATTTTCAGAGCATTCATTCAGTTACAATCGCTAAAAGTAGGGTATTAAATTGACTTATTCTCTATGTACTTTGGTATCAGCCACAATCTAAATGTGACGGATAATGAAACTACGCGATCGCTCAAAATTGAAGTAGTTGGAAAGGCATTAAAACATAGGGAACTTAGTAACTAAAACTCAAACATAGCAATAAACTAATGACCTAATTGTTAGCCTTGATTCTTCGGTAACATATCGACTGTTTTCGTTGTATTTTCACTTTTCGTTCACGTTTTATTTAACAGATCCGTGCCTTATCTACAATGCTTCAACTTCCTATTGAAATATTACAAGCTGAAGGAGTCCCATTAATTATTGGAGAAGAGTTTTCTGAAGAGCCACCAATCACTATTGTGTAAGTTTATTAAAGTACAGATACTAATCATTTTTCATTATCTTAGAATGTCAGTATTATTATTCGTTTGCTTTATATATATATATATATTCAGTTTTAATCAACATAGAGCCGTTGTGACATATTTCGAACCGTATCACTCAATATCTCCAACCACTTGTTACGGTTATCAAATGAAGTTCAACCAGATAGTTTTCACTGTCAACGTTGATCACATCATCAGCCAATGATTTCAGAGACTAATTCAACCACCCCAAACTTCCTCCCAACTTGCTTTTACACCAATAAACATCCTCCGTCGAAGTATGCAATGTTTACCTACCTACTTACGCCTGTTACTTGTGAAAGAGCATAGGCCGCTCACCAGCATTCTCCATCCAACCCTGTCCTGGGCAATCCTTTCCAGCTCTTTCCAGTTGCTATTCATCCTTTTCATATCTGCTTCGATTTGCCGACGTAATGTGTTCTTTGTCCTTCCTCTTTTCCGATTCCCTTCAGGATTCCATGTTAGGGCTTGCCTCGTGATGCGGTTTGATGATTTGCGTAATGTATGTCCTATCCATTTCCATCGTCTTTTCCTAATTTCCTCTTCAGCTAGAAGCTGGTTTGTTCTCTCTCACAGAAGGCTGTTGCTGATGGTATTCGGCCAGTGGATGTTGAGTATCTTGCGTAGACAACTATTTATAAATACTTGTACCTTCTTGATGGTGGTTGTTGTAGTTCTCCGGATTTCAGCTCCGTACAATGAGACTGACTGCCTTGATGTTGGTATTGAAGATTGTGCCTTTGATATTGGTTGGAAGTTGTTTTGAGTTCCATATGTTCTTCCATTGTAGGAATGCGGCTCTTGCTTTGCCAATCCTCGCCTTTACGTCTGCATCTGAACCTCCTTGTTCATCAATGATGCTTCCCAGGTATGTGAAGGACTCTACATCTTCCAGAGTTTCGCCATCAAGTGTGATTGGATTGCTGTTATCCGCTTTGAATTTGAGGACCTTAGTTTTCCCTTTGTGTATGCTGAGGCCTACTGATGCAGAGACTACTGCTACACTGGCTGTCATTGTCTGCATTTGTTCGTGTGTATGCGACAGGAGGGATAGGTCATCTGCGAAGTCCAAATCATCTAATTGGTTCTGAGCTGTCCATTGTATTCCGTGTTTTCCCTCAGATATCAAGGTCTTCATAATCCAGTCGACCACCAGAAGAAAGAGGAAGGGAGAGAGTAGACAGCCTTGTCTGACTCTGGTCCTTACTTGGAATGCATCTGTCAGCTGTCCTCCATGCACTACTTTGCACTGTAGTCTGTTGTATGAATTCCGGATGATATTGACGATCTCAGATATTCCATAGTGTCAAAGAAGTTTCCATAATGTTCTCCTATCTACACTGTCAAATGCCTTTTCATAATCAATGAAGTTGATGTATAGTGATGAGTTCCACTCAACTGATTGTTCGACGATGATCCGTAGTGTCGTGATTTGGTCTGTACACAAGCGATCCTCACGGAATGTAGCCTGCTGATCTCGAAGTTGGGCGTCTACTGTGTCTTTCATTTGGTTCAGCAACACTGTTAAAGACTTTTCCTGGTACTGACAGTAGTGTGATTCCTCTGTAGTTTTCACATTTGTTCAGATCTCCTTTCTTTGGAATATTGACGAAGTGTCCGTCTTTCCAGTCCGTCGGGACTTGTTCCTCCTCTCAAATATCCTTGAATAGAAGGTGAGGCATGTTTGTATTTACTTCGGTGTCTAACTTCAGTGCTTCAGCTGGTATATTATCGGGCCCTGCTGCTTTCCTACTCTTGATTTGTCTGGTGGTCATTCTGATTTCTTCCGTCGTTGGTGGACTGACATCTATATGAAGATCTGTGTGTGTTGTTTCGATGTCCGGTGGATTCATTGGAGCCGACCTACTCAGGAGTTCCTCGAAGTACTCCACCCATCTGTTCCATTGTTGTTGAATTTCGGTGATTGGCCTGCCTTCTTTACCCTTGACCGGTTATGCAATGTTTGGGCATACTTAACTCTTGTTTAAACCACCTCAGTCAATGAAAAATTACAACCTCACTAGCCGATTCACTATTTTTGCCTAGCATTATTTGCGTAATCTTAGCATCTGTCATTTAGGTAGAATTGAGTATTAGATAAACATGACAAGTTAATAAGGCTGTGAAAAACAGTCTCGTACAATTGAACATTTTTAGACTTTTGATCTGCTTTCTTGTTTACCCAATTTTTCTGTATTTTTTCGCATTAAAAAATCCTAACTTTCAGATACCACCGTTACGCGTTCGCGCTCGGTGAACACTACAATTCCTGTTTAAAGAAGCACGAATTTCAATGACGATTCTTAAGAGAAGAATGATAAAGGACTTCCATGTAAATAATAATTACTTAACCATTGCGTATATTATAACTGTGCTAATATTATTATTTGATCAAAATTAGCATTCGCTTTTCAAAGAAAAAGAGACTCTAAAATGTAATATAGTTCCTTTGGGGTTCAAAATTTATTTTATTCAGTAATAACTCTACTGGAATAAAATACAACACTGCGGATTTCACTATATTTTGTAAATGTTCTAATTTTCGTTGAAATTTGAGGAGCATTTCATTTGTTTTGTATATTTCTTGTAAACAATTTTATTATTTTATATATTTGTGCTGCGACAATTTACTATTGTCACCATACTAGGGTGGGGAGGCTTTCAAGTCACTAGATGGTGTAGCTTTAATGTACTACTATGTATTTCTAGGCAATTGTACTCTCCCGATTAACTGTAAATTAGGATTAGGACTAGCAGTTAGTAAACAAATAGATTCACTATGTCCATTTTAACATAATTCTACAACTAGATGCAAGAGATAAAATGGTTGGTCAAGGTTAATTGCTCGCTCGAATGTTAGTTTGGAAGTAATGTCTCACTATGTTCATCAATTCACATTGATTAATATTTGAAATCGAATTACTACGAATTGGGACTCTATTAAACAGATTAACCTATAGCCAGTATAGTGACGATGCAAACGAATATCACACTGAATTAGTTCGCAGCTTACTGTAGAAACTTAGTTCATAGTGTCATGGAAATACGAAAGTCGCTACCAAGGAAGAAGAACAACTGGTCTGTGCAGTTAAGCGCTTGAAACCACCCCACTAAGAAGACCCCTCATATTCGTATTACACTGCGGCGTGGTATAAAAGATAGATGTCTGCAACTAGAATTTGCTTGTCACTCACGGTTCATTGGTCGAAGTCCACGAGATTTATATTCTCGTCGCTTATATCTGAAAAAACAAGGAACCACTGCAATCATCACGCGAAATAACAACAACAATACTGATACAAATATAGATTTCTTTGCTCCACTAGATGACGACCCTAGTTGAAAGTACACCCCATTCGATTACTAATTAATATGAAATCACACATGAAAAATACCCAGAGATATGACATTCTGCTTGTCATGCTGAGCATGGTTCACGTTAATTTGATACAAAAATATCCTACCTCAAATAGATTAGTGTCATGCCGAACGAAATATTGTTCATTGACATAACTCAGTTCAAATATACAGGAAGTTGGTTGATGGTTGTCATTTTTGCTTGGTAACTCACAAATTGCACAAAACATTGTGAGCTTATGGTGCGAAATGGGTAAATATAAGTACAAACTGAACAGAATATACCGTAGCAGTACTTTCTTAAGCAGGTACAGTCACTAACTACGACAACACCAACTACAGGTCACTGGGCGATTAGAACTTTGAGAATTAGATACTTGACAGAAAGACATACCAAGAAATGTATGGACAGTGTTCTGTCCCAGAGGGATGCACCGCATCGAATTCCTCAGGAAATAAGTAGTTCTAATAAGATAGTCTTGTATATAGTATGTCACATGCTTAGGTTTTTGGTCACCATTCTCATATTGCTGAGTGACTTAATGCAATTATTGCCCATAAAATTTTCTTTCGTAAGCGGACAGCAAAACAAAAACGAGGTTAGGGTTTATTATAAGAAGACAAAACATATATAAAGTAATATCTCTGCTTTATCACATTCTGGTCATCGTACTAGTATTTAATAGGTGACGCAAACCACCGGAGAAAGTCATCGAGGAGAATCTTGAACGGGGTTATAGTTTTCCTGCAGCGAAGGCTTACTGGGAGTCTGCTACACATCGTTGAATAACGTCTGACAAATAAACTTTGGCGAAATGTTTTATAGGTTCACCGAATCAATGGAGTATGCTCTTTATTGCTCAGGTTGTGGTATGATGTAATGGAGTACAAAGGTGTGGATGCTAAAGATTAAAAAATGCCATTTATGAGCCATTAGATAAAGGCAATGTTTGGTTTAATGCGCCTGATTCAGAGACTAACTTCAGTTGATGATAATGCTCCTAAGCAGCTTTGGTGGATCTTCTTTGGGAAACTTCAATTTTCATCAAATCATTATCGCTGCAATTACTATAAACTAAACTGCTATATTCGACGATGAGTATGATACATTTATAGATAATATTAATCTAGATTCCGTGTTACTGAAATTTATCATTATAAATTCTATGAGATTTCTTGCTTTGGATACTTGGGAAGCAATATGCTTGGAGGAGTTCATATTGTTGCTATACCTCAAACCCAAGTCATGAACGATGCTGAGAGGTTTCAGTGTGCGTTTGTGTTTAGCCAGATCTAGATTAGAGCTACGGCGAATGTAAGCAAATCCACTTTCGTCAACATTCAGTGACAGTGTTCACGACACAGATCGTTCGTATAACTTATGTTTTCTTGGATTAACGCTGAAATTTACATTTCCTTAGTAGAATACAAGAAAAAAGAAACCACTTTAAGGGGGTAAACAAAAATAAGACATAAAAATTCAACTTTTCTAATATCTTGTCATTTTCCGTAGCTTTTTTGGTAACTTAAAATGTTGCTAGTAAACCTGTAGAATTATGGTCTACGATATGTAAATGGTTGCACAGCCATTCATGAATCGATGTAAATGTACATTACCACTGTCGAATGCCGACTCACTGGTCTAAAGCTGATATGCTTGCGTACGAGATCGAAGGGCCTGGATTTGAATCCCACCTGGAGAACTGTGGATGCGCATTGCTAAGGAGTGTCATGCTAGGAAGTCTGTCGATTCCAGGTTTCCAATGGTGGTCTGGCTTATATCGACCCATGAATTCAAGTTACTACAGTCCCCACAAACTCCATATCCGTATTAGCCTTCAAGTGCCCTGGTACGGCCGAAGGTTGGAAGAGTCCGATCTCCTCAAAACGCTCTCACATGGCCGCTCGTACACATTTACTGCCAGAGAAGTCCTACTCACTGCCTTCTTGCGGAGGGGGTGTTGTTAACTAAATTGAGAGGATGGAAGGCGAATATGCAGTCTTCGTTCTTCTCCAGCCACACTTCAGAAAGTGATGAATAACGTAATCAGTGGTCCTGGAGGTGTTTTAGGTAGTCAAGATGACCTCATTGTCCATGGTTCTAATATGGTAGTACATGACCAGAGTCTTGTAGGATTATGATCTACCTCGTTATTAGTACCACTTTAATAATAGTCTTAATCCTAAGATTGCGGATTTTTTATGACGTAACTACCTAGTCTATGAGACCGTACGTGTAAGTCACATCATTGTCTACACCAACTCATTGCATCGTAACAATTATCAATATATGATGGAGGACAAACTTAGGATACAGATGGAACAATATATTGAATATGAATAGAAGATTATGTAACAACACTTAAGAGTGACCACACGTGCAGGTTGCGCCATGCCGTCCAACCGATTCGAATCCATTGAATTTTTTCTTCCCGCCTTCTCCATCGTCGGGTTTTTCTCCGCATCAAATGTTGAATATGTATTTTCCCAGTTGTCTACAATACGTCTATATCTCATGAGAGAAACTCGTTGGTACTTTAGGTGTATACTCAATGTCATACGGAAAGGCTAGATTGCTAAGTTGAGGCGTAAATTTCCTGACTATGATTACATAGACTTCTTAGCGATGCGATCGCTTGTCTGTAGTGGCATTGGAACCTTGTCACACGATCCTTAAAGCTGAAAACGAGATAACTGGGAAAATTCATATCCAACATTTGATGCGGAGAAAAACCCGACGATGGAGAAGGCGGGAAGAAAAAATTCAATGGATTCGAACCGGTTGGACGGCATGGCGCAACCTTGCAGGTGTGGTCACTCTCAAGTCTTGTTACATAATCTTTTATTCATATTCAATATATTGTCCTATCTCTAGCCCGGATTGGACCCCACGGGTCACGGCTTCTCGCTAGAACTTCAGTAACGAGCATATGCTGATTATTATCATCATGGAGTTTATGAAGATTGTAGTAATTTTAAAAGAACGGAACGGCCATTCATTGCCTTCAGGTTTTCAATAGTGGTCTAGCTTACATCAAATCATAGATTCAACTATTAGAATAATATTTTTGTCATAATAAATATCAGCAACTTTAGGCCTAAACACACAGTCGTTCGTGACAAAAACCGTTCACGAATTTTGTTTCAGTTTGAAAATAAAATCAATAGAGTTGACCTACGTGATAATCTCCATTTAGTAAACAGTATTCAAGTTCACATCAATTATTTGTTTATTCATGATCAATGAAGTTTGAGTTGTTAAGGATATCCAAATTATCCCCAGAAAACTGCCAGAAGGACCTTGAAGATTCTCGAAAACATTTTACCCAGTCAGCGTTGAATAGAAGCTTCTTGAAACCATCTGGCTGGGTAATTAATATTCTTCCAGAAACGCTTACAAATACCCTCGCTTCTCTTTACATAAACTAAACTTGGAGTAAAGATTTAAATCACACATCGCACCATTTTACTTGACGTTGCCATGTGAATTTAGGTCGCGGTTACGAGAATCATCTAAGGAATTGATTCAAGAGCTAAATTAGAAGACAGGATTGAAGATGGAGAAAACCACAATGGGTATTTCTGTCGAGCAATTAAAATTATACGTGAAGCGTCGAGAGAAACGATTTTATCAGTCTAAATAGAGGTCATAAAAGCCCTTGTGCAAAATATGTCTGTCTCAGCTTAATCGCGCTCCCAGTGAACCGCAAATAACACAAACCTATTGCGTCACTGATAACATTCATAAATATTACTTCGATAGCCTAGCCTATGTTACTTTATTCCTATTGTTTTAGAAATATGAAAATCCCCCCTCACTTTCAACTTTGCACACTGAATGGAGATTTAAAAGCCAGAACACTGTTGAGATACATTGGAAAGTCGTAGTCAAGGAAATAACAGTAAGGAAAGAGGTATTTTTGACAACCGAAGTTTATGAACTTCCTCCTAGAATTGCAAAAAACAAGCTGCTAGATGCGATTTCGGTGATTGAATCTATGTGCAGCTGCGTGATTGAAAAATTGCACGAATCAACATGCCAGGTTTGAAAAGAGAGCTGGATGAACTTGATATGCAGCCGGTGAATATTTCTAATGCTTTGCTCAGTCGTCATGATGAAATACTATCTCAGGGTTGATCACACTTGCGTTTGTTCAATAGTGATTAAATTTCTCTCAAAAATATGAAAGGTGATTCAACAAGGAATAGCCAAGCAAACCACATAGTTGAGAGAAAATCGGGTAAATGTTTATCCCATAGGAAATTT